TCGCGACTTTCCTACCTTTTCGCGCACCTGCATCTCCTTTCTTCTGATCTTTTCTCTTCTGACTCTTCTCCCTGCTGACTGCTTTTTCATCTCTCCATATTCCAAACTTCCTTCGATGAGTAAAGTAATTAAATTAAATTCATATTCACTTACTGTACTAGTAGAATTATGAGTAAACGTACATATTTGCTATTAAGATCTATTAAGTTTCGCTAAGTCTTAAAATTTATCATGATATGATATCATGTAAATTCGTTTACATTCATTTACATTCATTTACCATTTGCATCCATTTACCATTGGTAGAATATCAATTCATGGAACATCCACAAATAAAATGGATGATGACTGGGGGTACCCCTATTTTAGAAATGGTTTATACCATCTATAAAAATTGTGATGACTGGGGGATGGTTTATGGCATTGCTTTACCCAATTGCCCATTACTAACCACTATTGCTCATTAGGAAGCATTATTACCCATTACTAACCATTACTAACCATTATTAACAACTAAAGAATTTACCAATTTACCATTAGTAGAAGATCAATGAACCATTAGTATCCATTAGTAACAATAGTAAACCACCCATGGAATGGTTTATACCAACTATTTATGGTGATTTGGGGGATGGTTTATGGCATTGTTTTATCCACATTAGTAGAATATCGATGAATATCCATGATATCAAGGCACCGGGTTGAAATCGATCATCTCCGACGGCTCCTCCCCGCCACTCTCCGAGTTGGCGTCGCCCTTTTTCTCGTCGCCCTTGGGGTCGCCAACGTCGCTCAAGCCGGGCGTGGAGGCAATCCTTGGGCGGAGCGGCTTTTAAGAAAGCTATGTGGATGGGGACTCAGCAGCTGAGACTATTGGGATTCCTATGAAACCCTAAATATATAGATATATATATATGTATATATACATAAATATATATATATGTATATCATGGGATTATAATACATTATAATGGGATGTTTACCAGCTGGTGCAGGATTTCACAAGCATTCTAAGTATGGGGATGAGGATGATGGATACAAATGTGAAACGGATCAGAGTTCATGCACCATAAATATGCGTGACGTATGGCGACCCAAAACGGGGCAATGACCAATACCAATGGGACAATGACTATCAGCTGTGTGCGCACATTGCCAGTCTTGGATAGGGTGCATCCTTTTTAAAGCGGCATGTATTCTCATTCATAGCGACAGAAAAGGGAACACAAATGTT